ATGTGATTTTAAAAGTGTTGGAGTGGGTAAAATACCCTTCCATTTTGGATCATCTGAGGAATAGATTTGAAAGCCATTGCTTCGAAAAAGACTTTTCTTTCATTTGGATTGTGTCAGAAGAGTTTGGAATGACTGATGAAACTGTACATTCCTTTTTGCATGTTTTCTTGATGGGAGAGTTTTTTGAAAAATAGTGTGAGAAAACAAATTTTTCTGGACTCTTGGACTTTCGAAATTTGATATGCCTCTTGTTTTTCGAAAACGTTTGTCTATTTGTGCCTCGGGATCGAATTTCTTCTTTGAAAGCCTTTTTTGCTAAAGTTTTTGGAGAACCGCAGTCATTAGTGTTCAGATGCGGTTTTCTGGAAGTCTTTGAAAGTTTTTGAAATCGAGGGCTTGAGTCATCCGAACTTGAAGATTCAGGGATTTGAGAACATTGACCCACTTCAAAGTTTTCCATGGGTAATTCGTGATGAATTGGTTGAAGAGTCACAGTTCCTTTTAATGAAGACTGCGGTAGGGATGATTTGACTACCGCAGAGTAAGTCTGAGTTGGGACTTCAGTGGGACTTTTGTGAGACTTCTGTGGTTCATGACTACAGTGAGAGACACTGTGGTCTGAGGGCAGAGATGGGAAGTCTTGTGAGACTTCAGGACCCTCAATAACAATTTCTTCATCAACTACGAATGAGGTTTGAGAATTTGGGTAAATGGTGCCACAGATAGGGATTTGATCAGTTGTGTCACCCGAAACCTCAGGCACAATTTCCTCAATGACACAATTATTGCTTAGATTATGAAGTCTACTGAAGTGTGTTCTGATATCTTCGGGAAAAGTCTTGTCATTGACTGGGAAATGAAATTCTCGGTCTGGAGGGACATACAGTCTGTCTTTGTTAAACCGGGGTGAGGAATCCATTGCGGTAGGATATCCATTTGACCAACCCCAATTGTATGTATTGTCCACGGTTCCATTATTTACCAAATTTTCAATAGCTTCACTTTCATTGAACAATTTTTTGATTAATAGATTTAAGCGTACAATTTCACTCTGAGCTAAATCTCTCTAGTTCAAAGCTATCTCTAATTGTGTTTCACTCAACATTCTTGCATCTTTTTCTAATTCTAAGTCCTTTTCTAACATATCCATTTTGAGTCTTTTGTTATCCAGTCGTCCTCTTACATGGAACATCTCTTGGGACGCAATATTCTTCTCATCTAAGGCTTTGTTATAGTCTGTAAGGACGGCAGCACATGTGTCATTAAGATTATCTATGAAAGGTTGACAGTCATGCATGCTATAGTTTAAAGTTTGGATCATGAGTTTTACCTGTTCGACGATGCTTAGAGTTCCATCCTTTGTCATGTAGCAGTAGTTCTTTTCCAGTTTTGTAGACTCATCATCATCCGCAGTTGCCAGCATGCAGATTTTGCCTTTTCCTTTGATACTGCTGATGGCTTCATCTTCATCTCCGGATGACCAAACTTGATGGTCTCTTTTGACATGGGCTACGTATGCTCTTGCCTTTTCCTTATCTTCCAATTCTTGAGCCATTCTAAGGTAGAATTCTCTGTCTTTCACTACATTGGCCTTGCAATCCTTTGCAAAGTGATTTTCTTTGTTGCACTTATGACAAATTACAATATCACTTTTGTCTTCTGATGGAGTACCGGAGTCAATGGTTTGGATGGACTGCGGTGCCTCCTTTGGTTGAGTATTCTGAGATTGCGGTGGTGGATGATAACTTTTGGGATATCGAGAATGGTTATTCTGCGGGTTGAAGTTACGATTGAATGGAGGTTTGTTGAACTGTTGATTCTTGCGGAAGGAAGGAGGAGGTAGACGATTGAACTGTTGGCTAACCAAAGCAATAGCCTTCTGAAATTCTTCTTTATCATCATACTCTGAATCAGCTTCGTATGACTGCGGTGCAGTGTCATACGTGGGAGAGTAGGATTGATTGGGTGGAGCTTGTGCTATGAGAGTAAGTGGTCCTCCGAAGTCAGCACAGTCTTTGAGTACGGTGGATTCTTGTGCTTGTAATTCTCCGTAGAGCTTGTAGAGAGACAAAGAGTGAATCTTTCTATCTCCTTGGACTATCATCTTAGCCGTAGTCCAATGTCTTCCCAATCCATTAAGAAACTGAAGATTTGTTTCATGGTTGCTGCGGACGGTGCCAGCGTTTGATAACTTGGTGACTATCAGGTTAAACCTTTTAAAGGAGTCTTCTAAGCTTTCGCCAGTGTGAGCTTTGAAATTGTTGAACTCATTGAGTGCGGTTGTAAGCTTCTTGTCTTGTGCTTGTTCTGAGCCTTCGTACAAATTCTTGAGAACTTCCCAGATCTCTTTTGCGGACTGACAGTTTATGATAATGTCGAAGTTGTTAGGAGCAACTCCACAAGAGATTTCATAAAAAGCAACAACATCATTTTCCATTTTATCGAGATCATCCTTGGTGGGACGGCTCATGATTGGTTGACCTCTTCCTAGTCTGGCTGTAGCGCCGTCAGTTTGGACTGGTGTAAGAACTGGGACATGTGGTCCTTCTTCTACGGATCACCATACATCTCTATCAAGTCTCCTTAAGTATCTTTCCATTCTTTGAGACCAATGATGATATTCATTTGCTACCAATATTGGGGCTCGATTAGAACCACCAACACTGTTGGAAACATTCAGAGAAAACGATTGTGCCATTTGACTTTGTTTTTTTTTTTTTTTTAAGAAATGAGCTTCAGTGATATAGAAGGCCCTTTGAAAATCAGAGTTTTGTTTTCAAAAAGCAACCACTATGGCTCTGATACTAATTGTTGAGAGAAAAACTTTGAGACACACTTGAACAAACGTTAGAACAAGTATAGTTGCGGAATAGTTAATCTCGAAGGATCTAAAAGCTCAACAATAATATTAATAAGTTAGAGTTAGATAGTTAGAGAGTTAGTTGCGGAAAAGTAAAGAAATGGAAATGACAACAATTGTTATATCAAGTATACACATAAGTTGATTCATAACGAGGAATACATTCAAACCAAGTTAATAAGTGAGATCAAACTTAGTGATTAAGTCACAAGAGACTTGCTCCGAAGAGAGATTGTAATCAGTTATATTCTAGTAAAGTTTGAGAGTAAGGAGAGATGCGTAATCAGATAGAGAGATAGAAAAGATAGCTTCAGAGATATATTGAATAAGTGAGAATGAGCTCTATTTATAGAGTCTCAAGAAATACATTAGATCACGTCTCTAAGAGTAGTCATGCAAGGCATAGTGGACAATAGAGAGTATTACAATAAAAGTAGACAAAGTAAAGTAATCTAGTAGCTAAGAATGACTGCGGTTGATGATGACTTCGGGTGAGGATGCTGATGAAACCTTGACTGCGGATCCTTGTGGACTGCGGTAGTTGAAGTTCAAGAGGGTCACTTTTCATGATTCAACATTAAAACACCCAAACAGACCTTTAACAGGGCTAAAAGATAGCCAAAAACAAGTCTGAATTTGATTGAATTGAACGGTTGTATAAGATAGAAATTTCGGGTTGTCACATCATCCCCCTGTTAGAGAGAATTTCCTCCTGAAATTAGAGTTTAAACAATTAAGCTATTACAAATAACTAAACGAAAAGATGAGGATATTTCAGTTTCATTTGATCCTCGCGCTCCCAAGTGAATTCAGGTCCTCGCCTGGCATTCCAACGAACCTTCACTATCGGGATACGGCTTTGCTTTGTTTGCTTGACCTCTCGGTCCATGATCTTTACTGGTTCTTCCACGAAGTTGAGGCTCTCGTTGATCTCGATCTCGGTCAGAAATCAAGTGTCTCTCGTCTGTGTAATCTGTTGACTCTCTACACTGATTTCCTTATGCTTTTGATTTTTGTCTATCGTTTTAATTTAATGTAGTGTTGTGAAATTAACTTTTTGTTTTGGTTTGCATTTAATCGGGGGCTGAAATCATATCATAAGGTGTTGATTTTATTCAATGTTTTTTTTTTGGATTTGATTTAAGTTAGAAATGTAATAGGAAGATTTTTCATCTGATACATGTTATTTAAGTCTTTGTGTGTTTGGGATTTCAGTCTTTCTGGGTTTTTCAATGAATATATCGTATTTTTTTGGGGAGGATGGTGGATTTGATGCAGGTTCTTTAATCTCTGTGTTTTTATGTGGGTTCATCATTTGGGCATTAACGATGGTTTTTTTTTTCCGGTGGCGATGGTGAGAGAGTGCGATGAAGGTGACTGGTCAGAGGCAATGGTTTGGGTCAATGAGGGAAGGGATAGAAAAAGAAGAGTGGGAGCTATATATATTATTAAACTAGGTGTAAGACCCGTATGTTATAGGGGTTTGATAAAACAAAAAATTAAATATGAAAGTTCAAACAAAAATTTATTTAAATTTAAATTTTAAAATTTGAATTTAAAAGGAAACATATTAAATTATATATGACTACTAATATTGTAATTTATTGGTTATTTTCAATTAAGACAATTATTAATTGATGTATAATTATGATGTGTTAATTAACAAAAAATAAAAAAAATTGAGAAAATGACAAATGAAAAAAACATTTAATAAAAAATAACAAAAAATGACATATGTTTAAGTTAATGAAAGAGTGACATGTGACAAAAATTATTTTTATTTATTAGGGAGGATAATTTTCTTGAAATAAATACAGGAAAAAAATCTATTAATTGTAGAATGGTCATTAGGTACTAAGACCGAAACAATTATAAAATAGAGGGATGATCCAAGTTAAATAAAGTTGTTAGAAACCAGCGATTACCCCAAAGGATCATTCGTGTAATTTACCCTTTATTATATTAGTCATTAGGTAAATAATCCTAAAAATTGAACATTATTCGATTCTAAAATGTTATATATTGTTTTCTTTTTCATTAGCCTTTTATCTCCTCGATAAGTCATTTTTCGTTCCTTCTATTCAAACCCCGAACTCATCGATCAAAACCCTCATTATTCAGCCTCAACCTTCGCGGCGGCATGCAGATCTTTGTGAAAACCCTTACCGGCAAGACCATTACGTTGGAGGTCGAGTGTTCGGATACCATTGACCACGTTAAAGCCAAGATACACAAGAAGGAAGGCATTCCCCCTGATCAGCAGAGGCTCATTTTCACCGGAAAGCAGTTGGAAGGTGGCAGAACCCTTGCGGACTACAATATCCAGAAGGAATCTAATCTGCATCTTGTCCTCCGTCTTCGTGGCGAGATGAAGATTTTTGTCAGAACGCCAATGGGCAAGACCATCACATTGGAAGTTGAAAGCTCCGATAAAATTGGTAAAGTGAAGTCGAAGATTGAGGAAATAGAATGGATTGAACCGGAACATCAGCTTTTGAGCATTGAAGAGAAGGCCCTCGAGGGTTCTAGAACTTTGGCAGATTATAACATCCAAAAAGAATCTACATTGCACCTTAGTCTTTGGTTGAGAGGAGATATGCGGATTTTCGTTAAAACTTTGACAGGCAAGAATCTACTTTTTATGTTTTGTGATTGGATATATGCTTTGCTGCCTTATTTTTGTTGGTGCTCTTGCGCAGTTGTAGTTATTTTTTATACGGAGCACAGAGTGTCATGTTTGATATAACTCCTAATGAAATATGTTTGACAATTAAAATGCCAACTTTAGGTGACTGCGTAAGGGACAGGTGTTTGTGCTTTTCTTATTTTGGAAAGATGTTTTTCTATATCATAGGATTTCAGTTTTATAAGCTACTAGTTTTATACTCTCGCAATGCAGTGTAATACTACAAGTTATAAATATTGATTATAAATGAGGAGTTGCATTGCATAATTTTTAGCATAAAAAGTTATTGAGGGGCGCTGCAGCAGAATGATAACCATTTTGAAGTGTTATCATACGTTAGTTGATGTGTGTTTTATTTTTTATTTTTTTGAAAGAGAGTTGATGTGTATATTTTAGGTAGGGTAACCGTGGAGGTATGAGAAATGACCTTGGACAATAAGAAAACAGAAGACAGAATTCAGTGAGTAGCAATAGTAGTTTTAACAAATTCAAATTACATAAAGAATGTTTATGGACACAATTCAGAATGTGCTATTGACAATTCGAGCTATGTGGAGAGATAAAAAAAATAAACAAAAAAAAAAAAGAAAGAAAAGAAAAAAACTACATTATTATTTTTGTGCACTGAACCCTTAAAATATCAAAAATTTGAACAAAGGAAAATTATTATAAACATACTTGGTCTAACTACAATAATTTTAACAAATTCAAATTACATAAAGAATGTTTATTGCTAGAATGTGCAATATTTGTAATTGGGTTAAGTACTCGTATATTAAACGGTTTATTAAAAATAATACTAAATAGGATACTATATTTTTGTTTTCTTTCATATTAGAAGCATTTTTTTTGAAAATATATTATGTTTTTTTTTTTTAATATAGTTTAGACAAGTGTATTGTCATAATTTACAAACAATCGAAATACATTGCGAATATAACTATTAAAGTAGAAGTAATTGACTAATTTGGTTCAAGTACTTTATCAAAAAATCCCAAGTTTGTTTCAATTTAAGACTTGCAATTGTTAGTCAAATCCACTACAAAATGCAAACTTGACAATAGACATCGGGAACATTTCAAAATGTTGACCAAATTTGTAACTTTAAGTATTGCACTTATAATTTACTCTTTAAATACTTATAAATTTATTGAATATCAATTTGACACATACAACGGGCATAAGAGCCTTGGCTCTAAAAAATTTCCCAAAATTATATTTTCATGCAAGGCTCACAGATTGTTTATAGTTAATTCATTAACCTTGCTTATAGCGTTATATAGTTAGAATCATTACTTGTACGTACCAGATCCACTATAATTTATTGAAATGATATTTTTAAATGAAAATATATCACCTTCTCAAAAATTTCCCAGCTTTATCTACATTAATGTTCCATGTACATTGCCGTAACTTATTTAGCATTCCTATTTTTATTTATCTTTATTGCAGTTTATATTTGTTTGCTGTGATTTAGTGACATTAGCGTGTAATAATGTTTTGTTTTCTTTCTAATGACTTGTTAAAATTTTTTTGAATATATGACATACTAGCTGTCCAAAAAAAAAAAAGCGAAAAGTCTAGCAAATAACTAGACTTAACCGATTATAAAGGGTTTATAAGCCAATAAGTCCAATTGACCTTACTCTTAGAAGTTTTATTACTAAACCGATTAAAAGAACACCTGATTATGCTATCAACAAGCTCAATTTTATACATGCTACCATAATCAAACAAAATAGAATTTTTAAATCTCCAAAACATCCAACATGTAGAGATTACAATAACTTTTGGTCTCTCCTTTCGCCATTGAAGCATTATTCCATCGCCTATCCAAGACAACCACTCTGAAATCGAGGACACCGACGAGACGGTAAAACCTCACCAAATCACTATGGCTCGCCATCAGACGCCACTTGACACGAGCACAAAATATGACTGATGGATACGACACACTTCCCACATACCGAACAACCAATACATTCGAAATCAAATACCCTTCTCTCAACGAGGTAGCATTGTATCTAGCGAAGGATGCCGAAAGAATACATTAACCTTTCTAAGGACAAGTTTGCATCACCTTTTCAAATAATCAATGCTCGGCAATCGAAATCATCAATATGATGTCAGCAAAATCTATAACACAAGCCCACAACAACATATCCTCAATTGTCTGGATGGTCCACTCACTTTGGTCATCGGTCTGCGGATGATAAGTAGTGTTGAAATGTAGTCTCGTATCCAGTTCCTTATGGAATTTCTGCTAGAATCGGGAAGTGAACCGAACATCTCGGTCTGATATAATGGAAACCGGAACCCCATGACGGGCAACAATCTCCCGAACATACACATCGGCTAATTTCTCGGTCGAGGAGCTCTCCTGGATGGCCAAAAAGTGGGCACTATTGGTCAATCGATCCACGATGACCCATATAGCATCAAAACCCTTGGCAGTCTGTGGTAGCTTGGTAATGAAGTCCATGGTGATATGTTCCCACTTCCTCATGGGAACCTCCAAAGGCTGTAGCTTACCATGCGGCCTATGATGCTCAGCCTTGACCATCCTACACGTCAAACACCTCTCAACATACCAGGCTATCTCCCTCTTCATACATAACCACCAGTAACTTAGTCTTAGATCCTGATACATCTTGGTGGCTCCCGGGTGTATCGAAAAGCGAGACTTATAAGCCTCCTACAAAACTATCTGCCTAATCCCACCAGAAACCAGAACCCAAACCCGACCACACCGGGTCAGCAATCCCCGACTATCGGTAACAAACCTTTCAATCTTGCCCCTGATCCTCTTCTGTTTCCAGTTCTCCTTCTTATCTCCTTTTGTCTGTGCCCCTATGATTAAATCCAAAAGTGGAGAAACAATGGATATCCTCATACACATATCCCCTGCTGAAGATCCAGCCGACTTACGACTCAAATAATTCGCGACCACATTAGCTTTACCCATATGGTAAAGGATCTCGCACTCATAATCCTTGACCACGTCAAGCCACCTGCGCTGTCTCTTGTTCAAGTTCGGCTGGTCCATAATATATCGCAAACTCTTGTGATCCGTATAGATAGTACACTTGACCCCATAGAAGTAGTGCCGCCAAATCTTGAGGGAAAACACTACTTCCGCCAACTCTAGATCATCAGTAGGATAGCGCGCCTCATGCGGCTTTAGCTGCCGAGAAGCAGACGCAATCACTCGCCCCCTCTGCATAAGAACCACCCCCAAACCAATGATGGATGCATCACAAAACACAAGGAAATCCTCGACACCCTCCGGAATGGTCAACACTAGGGCCTCACATAACCTCGGTCGCAGTATCTCAAACGCCGTTTGCTGCTCCGGGCCCCATCGGAAATCCACACCCTTCCTTGTCAGGTGAGTGAGGGTTACAACAATCTTGGACAAAATCCTGGATGAATCTCCGATAATATCCCGCCAAACCCAAGAAACTCCTAATCTCTAAGCGGGACTTCAGAACCTCTCACTGCACCACGACCTCAATCTTGGCCGGATCGACCAGAATCCCATTTTGCTTAATGAGATGGCCCAGGAACTGGACCTCCCGTAACCAAAACTCACACTTCGAGAACTTGGCATACAACCGTTCTCGCCTCAACACTTCCAAAAGCTCTCGAAGGTGCTCCCCATGCTGCTCTCTGGTCTTGGAAAACACCAACATATCATCAATAAAAACAATAACTTATCGATCGAACATCGGCCTGCATACCCAATTCATCTAATCCATAAACACTACAGGCGCATTGGTGAGCCCAAATGGCATCACCACGAACTCGTAATGCCCATAACATGTCTGAAATGCAGTCTTCTCCACATCCTCCTCTCTAACCCTCACCTGATGATACCTAGACCTCATATAGATCTTGGAGAACAAAGATGCACCATGAAACTGATTAAAGAGGTCGTCAATCCACAGAAGAGGACTAAGCTTCTTCACCATCAACTTGTTCAACTCCCGGTAATCAATGCACATCCGGTTGTAACCATCCTTCTTCTTGAAGAACAATATCGGCACTCCCTATGGTGAACTGCTCGGTCTGATGAACTGCTTGCCAAATAGATTCTAAAGCTGAGAGAACAACTCCTGCATCTCGTTCGGTGCCAAACGGTATGGCGCCTTGGCAATCGGAGCCGCACCTGGCACTAGGTCAATCCTGAACTCAACCTGCCTCTCGGGAGGCATACCGGGTAACTCCTTCGGACACACATTAGCAAACTCCCCTGACAACTAACACATCTGAAACCGAGACCTGCTCCCTTACCCGAGTATCAACCATATACCCAAGATAACCTATACACCCATGTGGAATATACTGCCAAGCCCTGGCTGTCGAACAAAACCCTGATTCAACCCTGGTACCCTCTCCGTAGATGACCAATTCTCCCCCACTTGGGGTTCGAACCACTACTCGGTGACCCTCATAGTCTATCATAGTACTAAACATGCTCAGCCAATTCATCCCCACTATCACGCATACATCCCCCATGGGAATAGGAATCAAATCAATCAGATAGCACACCCCGAAAATCTCCAGAACACAACCCTGATACACTCTAGATGCAGAAATCCCATGTTCGTTGGCGATAGAAACCCACAACTGACACTCTAACTCGCTAAGGGGCATATCAAAATCCTTACTGAAAGATCAAGATACAAAGGACCGACTCGCTAAGGGGCATATCAAATGAATTCAATAAGAAGGTACCTATCAGAAACATAACATAAGCATGCCATAAAATAATCAAGAAGATGATAAATAGAAACATACCAGTAATGACGTCTGGTGCTGCCCTGGCCTCCTGTGTCGTGAGCTGAAAAGCGCGACCTTGAGCCCTCGGGGGCTCCGCCCTACCATGTCGCCCATCGGTGATCCTCAAGGTAGCTGGCGCTAGAGCATGTGCCGGTCCCGCCGTGAGAAAATGAAAGTTGGCCTTAATATGGCCAGCCTGCTCATAGTGATAACCGATCGTGGTGGTCGGTGCGAGGACATGCTGGCGACAGTCCTTGGCATAATGCCTATCCTTGCCA